AAGGTGCTGTACAGAATTAAAAAAGCGCATTCCAATATATCCCTCATCCCATTTTCTAAGAAATAACATTTTAAAGAAGCGCAATTTTATTATTTGTACAACAATGTAACCTTATATTTTTCACAAAATATCACAACTTATAAAGCACTTCCTTATAAATATGACAAAGTTTAAGTCATAACCCTGTGAATACACAAAATTTTTTACTTCTCCCTAAGAGAGGAGAAAACCAAGGTTCCTAGAATTGAAATTATCTTCTGAAAATCATGTAACTAGTAAATCAGAGTCACCTTTCAGATAGGTCTCATGGTCCCAACAAAACAGAAGCCCAACAGATACACAGCACTTGGTCCAGTGCCTTGTACCGAGGAAGCCCTGGAAAATGCTACTCAGAAATATCAGGTCATTAAATATGAAATATCCGATTTCGAATCAAAAGTGTAGTTTATTGTATCTCAAACAAGAAGCAGTACAGTTAATCAAAGTATTCACCTAAACTATCGACACAGTTTTGCCATCTTAACAGTAGCTTGTTTATGCCAGCAGCAAAGAAGCCTGGAGAGCAACTGGTGATGAAATCGTGAAAGATGTTTTCCACAGTTTATTGAGAACTGAATATTTTTCCTTGCAAGAAGTGGCCCAAAGCCTGGCAGAAGTGTTTGCCAGTTGGTGCAAGGTCTGGTGAATATGGTGCAGGACAAGACAGTTTCTAAGTCCAGCTGCTGTAGTTTGAGCAGCATTGTTTGTGCTACATTTGGTCAAGCATTGTCTTGCAGGAGGATTGGCCTGTCTCTATTGACCAATCTTGGCTGCTTAATCCCAAGTATCCTCATCATTTCGTCCAATTGGTTGCAGTAGACATCCACTGTAATCGACTGACCAGGTTTCATGAAGCTGTAGTGAATAATAGTTGCACTGGACCACCAAACAGACACCATTAGCTTTTTTGATGAATATTCAGTTTTGGACTGTGTTTTGGCACTTCATCTTTATCCAACCATTGTACTGAATGCTTGTGATTGTCAATAATAACCCATTTCTCAACGCACATAATAATATGGTATACAAATGATTTGCCTTTATGTAATGACAGCAAAGAAAGGCAAGCTTCGAGACTATTTCTATTCTGATGCTCATTTAATTCATGTGGTATCCATCTATCCAGCTTCTTAACCTTGTCGATTTGTTTCAAATGGTCTAATATTGTTCGAATAGTAATGTCAAACCTTGCTGCTAATTTCTGCATAGGTTGAGATGGATTCACTTCCACTACAGCCTTCAGCTCATCATTATCCATCTTGATCTCAGGTAGCCCACATGGCTCATTTTCAAGATTAAAATCACCAGAAGGGAACTTCTCAAACCATCGATGTAATGTGTGTTAAATAGCCACATCCTTCCCAAACACTCTGTTGATATTTTAAGCTGTCTGCGCTGCACTGGTTCCATGATGGTACTCACATTTGAAAACAACATGAATTTTTGACTTGTCCATGGTTTCACGAAAATCGCTCTAAAACAAAATTTGAAAGATAATCACAAGCCAAAATGTGCATTTGAAAGACTGAGGATGTACCTTCACAATAAAAATAAAACAATAAGTGTCAAAGTGAAATGTCAGAGCTATCAACTGTCAAACTTAGTATAATACTTAAGGAAATTGGACATTTCATACTTAATAACCTAACAGGCATGATATAACTAACAATAGTCAACTTTTCAAAAGATTATACTCAAATTTCTAACGTTTAGAAGGAGGTTTTTAAAAGGCCGAATCTCCTGTGAGAAGTAAGAGTAAATTTGGGTTAATAGAAGGTTTGTGTATAAAGGGCTCATTGTAGATAGTTTCCAAAGATGGCAGCCATCAATCCCTTCCCTCTCTGTCTGTGCCTAATTAAGAAATAGTTCCATCTTAGCCTCCTTCACTGACTCTGCTTCCTCCGTCCAAACCTTAGATGCTGATACTTTGCAAGGTTCTGTCCTTGGACCTTTTTTCTTAATGTCTTCTCTAATCTCACAGCTTCACACTCTCAAATTTTCTCCCATCCAGGTCTTTTGCCCAAGCTCAAGATATATTTAAAACTGCCTTTGGGAGCTGGAGGTTCTGCAGGCTCAAGGCCAACATGTGAAATACCAATTCCATTATCTATCCTTTACTTTCAGCATATTGTAGTTTACTTGACCGTGATTAAGCATACTTACAGATTATATTATTTCATTTTAATTAAGTCAATCCTTACATTTTGGAAAGGTTTTATTTAGAAAGTACTTATTACGACTTGAGCCATCATCAAATGATAGTATGGAACCATAACTTAAGTTTTGCTAATTGTTATTTCATCTCCCATTGTTTTTTTGTTTTTTTTTTTGAGACAGAGTCTCACTCTTTTGCCCGGGGCTAGAGTGAGTGCCGTGGCATCAGCCTAGCTCGCAGCAACCTCAAACTCCTGGGCTCAAGTGATCCTTCTGCCTCAGCCTCCCAAGTAGCTGGGATTACAAGCATGCACCACCATGCCCGGCTAATTTTTTCTATATATTTTTAGTTGTCCAATTAATTTCTTTCTATTTTTAGTAGA